GACTGCCCCTGACTTTTAAATCCATATCCATCGCCCTCAGGAGATGGTACAGAACGCAGTGTTGGCAAATTCCGGCTCTGATGTTAAAAGTTTCGATTTTATGCCATATATACTCTGACGCAGCATCAGTTACTACATGGAGTAACACGATGGCTCGTAAAAACTGACCATTGACCCCATATACTTGCAGACACAGCCATAAATTGTTGCACACAATCCAGTCATATGCCGCGCTCAACAGCAAAACGCTTGTAAACCGGATGAGCGAACTAGTTTTTCATAGCAATTCGCTTAACGAAGGTTAGGCATCGAGAGTGACGAGTGATCTAATGTTGTAGCGCTCTCAGAGAGGACTTGAAGGAAACTCACCGGCAAACGAACGAAACCTACGCTTAAGTTCGACGTTGAGGATTCTCGAGGTTCTGGTCTCCGGCAAAAAGTATAAATTTATTATGCTCAGATGCGCATAATGACATGCAATTCCTCTTGCTTCTGTTAGAAGCTTTGCATTTAATGAGGTGCTTTTTCCTTAGCTTCTGACACTGAGCCTCTTATATGAAGGTTTTCGTTTGCCCAAGAATAAAATCTATTTAGAGGCTTATGAAGTACTTGCGGGTGATCAAAACGTACACGAGAACAGCTGCACCCCAGGTTTGGCCTACTTTCAAACAGACCTATGAAAAGCAGCTCAACAACTGGTCAAGCAGAAAACATTATAAATCACAGCAGTCATCATGCGATAAACAAATCAACAAAAGTTTTAGCTTGAAATTTGCAACTTTTACCCGTTTCTGAGTTGTCATGTCCGCTGTATTCAGGCATTTTCAAGTCTTTCGCTATAAGGCATCGGCTAAACTCCGACGTTGCCTATCTCAAGGCCGCATGAGAAAAAAGGAAAGCTGCAGCAGTGGCGAGGTCCCCCGTAATATTTAGTCACTCGATCATTACTCTGGATCGGTCGTCAATTGGGTAAGCAAGGGGAACTGTGGCTGTTGGGCAGCTGCAGCAGTCTGCGA